GCCAGGGTTGGTGTGGCCAGTTGCAACACACCCATTTTCCAGCAGCAGAGCCAGCAAGAATAAAGTAAAGGCAACCTGCCCAAGAACTGCAGTGTGAGATGGAGGTGGACCCTGAGCTCTGAAGCAGAAAGGCGTCTTTGAATACACAGTTTTCTACTTCAGCTATTTGAGATAAGCAAGCTTGTGGTTCTCGGAGAAACACAACCAAAACGCAGGCAAAATGCACCTGCGACCACCCACCTCGCTGCCCAGCCCGCAGGGGCAGCCACCCTCCGTCCCCCCCAAGCCTCTCCCACCGGCAGGCTGGCATTTCATTTCCTGTCTCTTTTTCCCCTGGGTGTAGAAGCATGCTGAAATTTAGGTACGGGTCTGGCAGCCCTTACATTTTCATTTTCTAAGAAAGCTTAGGGCATCCTCTGTTTGTCGGAAATTATGCTGGCACTAGAGTCTCCGGGGCACCGGGCAGCATGACAGCCTCCCGGCTAATTAAAAAAGCAATGAAAATTAGACGAGAAAGGCATCGGGGCGGGTGCCGAGTGGGACATCCACAGAGGCAGTGGCGCCCGCGGGCACTGCGCCGGGGAGCCCAGGGCTGCCGTCGCAGGTGATGCCTTCGGTCTAGGCGCTCATTCTTGGGCCGGGCCCTGATTCGCTTGCACCCCGTTTGCAGAGCGACATTCCGGAAGGTTCTCTGCAGCATCCCTCACATCCCCTCCTCGGGTGCCATTGCTGCGTCCTTCGCCACAGAGCTCTGTTGTTCCGAGAGGCCTCGGCTTCTTCAGGAGCCAGCTGTGCTTGGGCGGGTCTCCACAGAAGCGCCGTGCCGCACTGCCAGCCGTCTCCGCTGCTACCGCAGTGAGCGCGCTTGAGGATGCAGGTGGGTGCCGCCCGGCCACGCTCCTCTCCAGCGCCCTTTCCCACGATGGAAGCCTGAGACAACCCGGCTTGTAGTTTTGCAGGTTCGCCATCTTTACTCATCTGGAGGGACTTTCCGGTGGTTCTCTAGTAGTTTGTGGTCTGTTTTCACTGCTACCAGAATATCCTGGTGAAATTTCAGGCAGTGACCAACTGTTCATGCCCCTGTGGGGACTTCTTGACAAGGATCGGTCCCCACTTCTGCTAGGCGACAGCATGTGTGCAGTTTATTCTGTATCATCATCATACGACCACAGGTGTGCTTCTAGCCCGACGGCGTCCTCCTCTCTTTCCTCTTCTGCTTTGTTCTGGTCCTGGAAGTCGGGCTGAGGCTTCCCTGAGTGCCTTCCTGCACCGTTTCGCCCTGGCCTCCTTGGAGGGGCTCCGGCAGCTGCTCCTCTTCGCATGAGTATTGGCCGTGGATCCACGCGTTTGGGCAATCTTGACGTAGGCGGGTCAAAACGCCTGTTTCGCGGGGCCCTTGCAAGACACTGGGCAGCAGTCTGGGGAGCTGAGCAGCCAGTGGACCCCCACCCACAAAGTGGAACCGTCACACTTTGCCCGCCCCGATTCTGCGCCCCTCCAAGCAGGTTATTAGCTTAGTGTTGCTGTTACTCCTGGATGTGTAGCCTTTTTTCCTCTTGTGAGGCGTTCAAGGCAGGTTACACGGCTCCGTTTTATCCTGGGGCAACAACCCTGGGCGGGCCGTTCGGGCCAGGGTGAGGGGCCAACCCAAGCCCCCCATCAGCGTCCTGGCCAAGCGGGGTCTGGAACCCCAAGAGCGCGAGAGTAATTCCCATGCCCTGGAGGGACGGTGTCTGTCCGCTGTCCTCACGCCCCGCCTGATGCTTCTCCGCTCTCGGCTGTGTGCGGGGCCGCCGTTTGACGGTGTGCGGCCCAGGCTAGTCTTCTCCCCTGCCACCAAGCCTCTTACACTGCTGGCATGAAACAGTGCGGTTAAAAAGGACTTGGGCACCCTCTCGGATGTCTCGAACACACAACTGTTTCTTTAGCCTATTTCTGTGCCTTGTGGTATGCAAGGGGCCACCCTTGGAAGCCCTTTCTTCCGGTCGGATCTCCAAAGTTACGGGCCGGCTGTTTGTGGGAGGGGCAACGCCTTCCAGGACATTCCTGGGCCCCGGCCCCAGAGCCAGCCTTTCCGTCCGTGAGCGACGCCTCCGCCTTGCCTGGTCCAACTTGAACTGCAAGGGACTGGAGTAAGAGGGCCCTTCTCTCTTCTCCAGGGGTTTTCCCACTCCACACTAGCATCTTGACATGGCAAGGCATCTTTGTAAGTTCAGTGTCTATTTGTGTGGCTCTTTTCCACAAATCTGAGCCCAAAGTAGCTCACAGCATAACGAAGGAAGAACAGTTAATGTAATTTACAAGATATCAGAGAGCAATAAATATAACATATTCAAAAATACGATAAAAACAATTACAATAGCCCTAACATCAGCAGAGAAATGCAGGGCAGAAATATCAATACATACGTTAGTGGATACAAAGGTCCAACTCAACTGATCCAGCAACTGAGCATTAGACAATGGAGGGCATGAAGCACAACCCAGACCGATTGCGAGGCAAAACGGAGCTCTCCTCCGCTTGCAGGTTTGCCACCATTTGGCTGCAAGTGCAGGGTGGGAACCGCACCTGTCCAGGTGACAGCCCGCCTCCCTTCTGCATCTCGTTCTTCCTTCCCCGCCTTGCATGTGGGGAGGTGCAGATGGCTCTTCATGCCACCCCCTTCCAGCATCAGTCTCCAGGCACCAGCCTCAAATTGAGCATTGCAGGTGGAGGCATCACTGTGAATTGGGGTGTGGGGGGAATTTAAAGCTAAAGTTCGTGTTCCAACCGGCTGAAGAAGAGCCAGTTGAGCGAAAATGGCCATCTTTCTCACTCTGGTTTCCTAACTAAGTTTCTTTGCTTCACAATGTTCTGACTGCTGAGTTAGAATTAAATCTGCTGATGAATTCTATCACCCAAGGCTTGAACCGAGATAAAGGCTTTGTTGCTTGTTGTGTTGCCCAGTTGTGGGATGCTTGTGTTATCAGCAGCGACTCTTTCCAGAATTAACCCTGTCCGTGATGTCATCGTCCCTCTCACTGCTTTCTGCATTTAGTCTTCTTCTGGTCTCACGGTTATAATCGCCCTCCAGCCCAGCCCTCTGTCTCCACAGTGTCCGTCCCGGAAACTCCGAGACACTTCACCCGATGAAGGAAGCCATTGCTGTTACATGCCATCAAGTTGCCTCAAAGTAACGGTGACCCAGTGTATAAACTTGTATTATCCAAAGAGAAACCAGAGTGTGCATTCATTCATGGCATCAGCATAAGTTGGACAGCACTTGACAGCGCATAACACCAATTAATTAATTAATCAGTCAATCCCCTTCAGAGCATCTTTCCTTGGCCGCCCTGCTGAGCTCTTGTAAGTTCAAGGCTGTGGATTCCTTTATGGAGTCAAACCGTCTCGTGGTTGTCTTCCCCGCCTGTCTTTGACTAACTCTAGAACAGCCTTCCCCACCCCAGTCGCCTCGGGAGGCATTTGGACCACAGCTCCCAGAAGTCCCACCCAGCAGGACCATGGACTGGGAATTCTGGGTGTTGCACTCAAAATGTGTCTGGAAGGCCCAAGGTGGTTGTTGTTGTTGTTGTTATAACATTTCTATGCCTCCCCTTGCCGAAGCCTCGGGGTGGCTTACAATACAAGGTTGGGGGAGGCTGCCCTAGAAAGATTGTGTTCTCAAGTGACGTCTGCCTCCCGGTGAGCCCAAAGTGTGATGAAACGGGCGACAATCCCTGGAAGCTTTTGGCAGGAAAAATCCGCCGCCAGGGCGCCATGCGCCTCCTTAGGTAGCACATCTTTCACAGTCGAAGCCAGTGATGCTCAAGCTCAGTCTGCCCAGAGGAGGCGATGGCCAAGCCTTTTGCGCAGATGCTCTTGCCTTGAAAACTGCATGAGAGGAGACTCTGGGGCTGGAGGCCCTTGACAAGCTGCCGGGGAAGAGCAGAGGACCGGTATGAATGGGCGGGGGTGGCGGTGACCCCCCAGGGGACTGCGTGGTCCATGAGGAAGGGGCAGGCCTGGAGCACTGCACCTCCGAACGTGATCGCAGGCTCGGTGGCACATGGGGTGCAGGCCACCAGTGGGAGGTGCGAGCGGGGAGGGGGGCTGCTGACACAGGAGCCCCCCAGCTGCCTGCCAGGCAGGTCAAGGCGAAAACCCACCGCCGGGCATGCGTGCAGTGCCCTGCGGTTCAGCACCCTGCCGCCGCCTCCGTTCCACGGGTCCCCGGGCCGGCAGCGGCTTCCCTCCTGCCTTTGCAGGAATCGGAATCAAACCAGGAAGTCCCTTAACCACAGTTGCGCATTTGTGCTTACCAGTTCAAGACACGAGCCTTTTAAACTGTAGTTTGAAGCTGGCTTGTTCTGAGGCTGGAATCCATAGGCAACTCAAAATGACAACTGTGGTTAGTAAAATAGCCTTTAAAATGTGCGTTTTCATGAGTTGGTGAAATTCACCAGCTGCCATGTCCGTGGTCCCGGGCATGGATGGCAGAGCCTCCAAACAGGAATAAACCTCTCCACATCTTTTCCAGCTGCTGAGTAAGGAGGGGCCCAGGAAGCTGCCGGCCCCTCCTTGCCCCTTTCCTCTTTTCTATTGTCCTTTAGCTTCAGGAAATTGGGAGGGGGTGGATCCATCTTCCGTGCGCTACCTTTGCGGAGGAAGCAGGCGTGTGCGGCCGCATCCTGGGGAGGCGAGGGCCCAGACTCTCCGCCTCGCATTCATGGCAGGGGCGCCTCTCCCCGATCTCCCCGAGAGGAGCTGAGGACATTTGCAGTGACGCCGTCAGGGTTTCAATTATTCTTGCCCAATACAGGCTCTTCCTTTGGGTACGGAATGAGTAAGGCCCAGCCCGTTCTATATATACGCTATATTTACTTGGCAGAGAAGCGCCGGCCAGGCCTCAGGGGCGAAGGACTCCTCCTCGCCTTTCCGCGCAAGTGTCGCTCCTTGCATCGCGCTTTGCCGAATGTCGCTGTGCGATGCGTCTGATGATGCTCTGCTTCTCTGTTGCGCAGTTACCTCACCGCCGAGTGACGTTCTCCGCAGCCAATCAGGCCCAAGACCTGCAGGACCCCTCCCAGCACAGCTACTACGACAGCGGCCTGGAGGAGTCGGAGACGCCCAGCAGCAAGTCGTCCTCGGGGCCCCGCATCGGCCCCCTGGCCCTGCCTGAGGACCACTACGAGCGCACCACCCCCGACGGCAGCATTGGCGAGATGGAGCACCCCGAGAACGGTGAGGCGAGCTCCGCGGGGCCCCCCGCCTGGGCAGAGCCCCGTGCCGGGCGCCCCCGGGCACGTCTTCGCCTGGCGGGCATCTCACGGGCGAGCGAGCGAGCGAGCGGGGGCAATCCGTTGGACACAGCCGCGCTGCGACGATCTGGGGCAGTGGGACCGCCAAAGGGCGGGCGAGCAGCGAAGGAGGGAGGGAGGTGAGGGGCCCGCACGGCGCTTGCCGCGCAGCATCCTGCGCACGGGTGGGCACGTCCCACTCTGCCTGGTGGGCAGGGCCGCGAGTTGCACACATGTGGGCTCTGAGAAATGGGATCGTACAGAGAGCAGTGAGTCGGCCGCTCTCTGCTTGCATCCCGCCCACATAAAACGAGCAGACACACGCAGCGGGGGGCGGGGGGGCACTTCTGCATCCAGCGAGGCTGAACACACACGGAGACTGCCTCTCGGCCTCTCTCTTTCACGCACAGCAGAGAGGCAGGCCACATCCGGCCACTCTCTCCTCCACGCCACGTGGCGGTTTTCTAACATGCTCGTTGTGTCATCCAGACCCAGTCATGGTCTATCACTGGGGCCTCTTTGGAGCCCAGGAACCACAACAAGAAACAATGGTCTGGTGCATATGTTGTGGCATTCAGACCTGGGTGTGCCGTTTTCCAGTTTCTGGTACAAGAACACCATAGAGCCCCATGGAAAGAGAGGCAACAGAAGAGGAAGCTCTGGGCACCTGATCTCTATGACCCACAGCTTCCTAGCAGATACGTTGCAGCTTGCTCCGTTCCTATGGACTGCCTGCTGCGCTTGCTACCTTGTTTAGTTCCTGGAACAGGGAGGCAGCAGATATAGGCAAAAATACATTCAATGCAAGAAGAGCCCCTTGGGGGCTGGATTGGTAGGAAACGTTGAAGAGGTGGAGACACAATCAGGAGGGGGATGTGGACCAACCATCACAAAGCCTCAGTGCCTCCATTAGCGATGCCGATTCCCTTTGGCAACAGGCAAGGAGAGGGCATGGGGAATGGCGGAGGCCACTGCCAGGCAGGGCAACGTGAAGAGAGGCTGCGCTGAGCCTGAAATGGCTCCCGATCGGAGGAAGAAAGCCCGTGCCGCTCGGCACTTTCGCAGGGCCGGTGCTGGTGGGTGCCGTGCCAAGGCTTTTTTTATCAGTCTGGCAAAACGTTTTTCTTTTTCCTCTTCTTGCTTCCCTCCCTTGCTCCCTGCCTCCCTTCCTTTTATTTTGATTTTGGCTCTGTCTTTGCTGCAGCTCCCTTTGGCCAAAGGGGCTCTGTGGGCCCCTTGAATCCTGAGACTGAGAACCAGGTTCTGGCTATGTGCCTGCATCCCTGGTTTGTGTCTTATCTGAAGCTGCTCGGGATTAGATTTCACCCTGTGAGGTGTCCCCCCCGAATCCCAGCGACTTCCAGCACCTGATAACAACCAGAATGTTGTTTCGCACGTGCGAAATACCAGCCCAGTGTGCCCTTGTGATGATTCCCGTGGATTCATCTCCGTCATCACAATCACCATCAACGCTATTATCGTCGTTCTTATTCTTTGGGAAGTTCTGAAGGGGGGGGACGGGGTTGGGGTCAGGGTGCGACTTATGGGGAACATACCCCGAGTGCCCTGGCTGTGGGATGGAACAGATGAGGGGGCAGCGGGGAGAAGCCCTCAACTCTTTGCTGACCTATTCTTCTTCCACTAAGGGAAACAAATTTTCTGAATGGCGTGAGCGTCACTGGCTTGGTGCCCCCCCAGCCCCCCCACCAGGAATGTCTTGTCTGCTCACCGGGGCTTTTTCCCTCCCTCGCCCTTTTCGGGAGCAGGGGGGCTCACGAACAAGCAGCCCGGTGGCTCTGCTGGAAGAGAGGTCCTGAGGCTTGGCGCTTGGCCCTGGACATGGCCTCCTCCTCCAGGAGGATGGGAGGGTTCAGGCAAGAGGCGGGAGGCCCCGTGAAGGAGCCCCCAGGGGCAAGAGCAGAGCTGCGGGTGAGGCCTGGAGGGGCTGCCCAGGGGAATTAGAGCCGCCCACCTGGGCCAGTGCGGCCACACAACAGCCGCACAACCTGGGGCTGTGCCAGAGGCGTGTCCTTTCGCAGGGCGCCGAGCGAGGTGGAGCTGGGTCGCTTCTCCTGGTCCTAGAGGGAGCTGGCGGGGGGGTCGGCCCGCTTTTTAATAGGGCTGCTGGGCTGATGGATTGTGGGGAAACGTGGAGGTCTCAGTTTCAGCAAAGCCTCTGCCCAGATTTGCCGGAACGCACTTGTTGGCCAGATGGTAAAGCTCAGGTTGGTCGATGCGGCTCCCAGGGGGAGCGGCCACACTGACGAACGCGCGGCGATGCGTGGGCGTCTTGCTGGAGGTCCCCAGCGCACTGCTCCCAGCCCCGCCGGCAGCCGTGTGGTGCTCAGCGTTCTTATAAATGGCCTTAATATAAGCATGGAGGGGTCGTTTATCACATCAGAAGACTTCCTTGCAATCTGCCTGTGTTTTCCCAGCAATTCTCTGGACATTTTGCTTAATGCAGAAAATCCATTAAGAAGGGAAAGAGCAAAACAGCTGCTTTACTGCCAAAATGCAATTCGTTTTAGCGCCAGCACTGAAATCTCCTGCTTAACGTTGCAGTTTGCATTGGTGTTTTTTATATGTGTTGATGGTATTCCGGAAGAACAGGCTTCTACCAGGACTGTAAATAAAAATCAAGACGCTGAAATGGTGCGAGACACCTTTGCAGGGGTGGTGATGGGGCGAGCGGCAGCAGCGGGCTGCCGAGGGGGAAGGTTCTGCCGAATCCTTAAAAAAGCTCAGTGACGCCTTCAAGACGGCATTAGCAAGTGCTTGCACGATCTGTTTCTTTTCCTGCGGGCTTTACTCCTGGAAATGCACTACTGACGCTACTTGGTTATCTTTGTAGTGTTCTTTAAGAGAAGCATGTGTGTCCGTGTGCGTGTGTGAATCATTCCTGAAGAAAAGACTTGTGCAAGGACGATACAGAAGTGTGTGAGGCTTCTCCTTCTGGCTTGTGATCTGTGACCATTCCAAGATCCTTCTCGCTCGCAGTTCTGTGGAGCCAAGTATCCCCCATCTTGTAATTGTGCGCTTGGCTCCGATTTCCTAGGTGCCGAACTTGGCATTTGTCCCTGGTAAATTTCATTCTGCCACTTTCAGCTCGGTGCTCCAACCAATCAGGATTGCTTCAATTTTCATCTGTGTCTTCCAAGGCATTAGCCATCCCACCCAATTTTGTGTTGCCGCCAAATCCGATCAGCATTCCCTGTACCTCTTCGTCCAAATCATTAATGAAAATGCTGAAGAGCCCTGGGCCCAGGACTGAGCCCAGCGTGTTCCCTCTCCCCAGCCTGAGAAGGCGCCATTAGAAGCCTCTCTCTGAGCGCAATTCTGCATCTAACGACAGATCCTCCTGAGCGTTGCGCCTTCTGCCTCATGTTTACCTAGTTGCTGATCATGCAGCACATTGCCAAACTCTTCAGCATAAAAGAGGCGGTGGTCTCACCTGGACTGGTTCTGCACTGGTGATATTCGTTCTGTATTCCAGGAGAGGTGCTGGAGGCTGGCCATGAATGTGGGGGGTGAAAAAAGGAGCATTTGGGAAGAGAAAATATTCTACGGAAAGGGAGGAAAAATAAGGACCTGCCTGTGTGCTGGAGAAGGGTGTGGGAGGAAGCGAGGAAGGGAGGGCTGGAACCGCGCGTCGTGCAGGGCTGAGGGGGTGTCGAGGCTCGGGGGGACGAGGCAGAGCGGGGGGCAGGGCGGAAGGGGACGGCAGGGTGGGGAAGCAGGGCGGCTCGCCTGGGCCCTGGACGAGGCCGGAATGTGGTCCGCGTAGCAGAAAGCCAGAGCATCTTTGGTGCCCGGCAGAGATGTGAGCGTTGCGGGGGCGAGGAGAGAGCGCAGGGAACGCAGCTGTGCGGGGTGCTGGTACAAAGGAAATCGATCGTTCCCTTCACCCACGAGCGCAAGAGCCGGGAGCAGGTGGAGCATCTGAAGGAGGTGATATCAGGAAAGGGCACTGGAGCAGAACTCAGGGTGGTGTGGGGGCGAGCCTGCGCACGAGGCAGCATCCGGGGGGGGGGGGGCGCACATGGCCAGAGATGCTTCATCCCCGCAGCGCACGAGGCAAGCACGAAACAGCTGCAGGCATTTTGTGCAGAGAGCGGCGCACGTGTGCCGGGCCGACATCCGTGGGCGGAAACTCACTGGTACGTATGTGCACCAGGGTTGCACAGATGTGAGTCACGCCAGGCCTCCTGCAGGGCGAGAGTGTGCGGGAGCGGGAGCTGTCGCAGGCGCCTTGACCTGGGCATGCACAAGGCAGGAGAGCACATCATGGGACTGGGGAGGGGAGAATCAGAGTGGTGGCGAGGGCTCCCGTGGAGCATGCACAGAGTGCAGGGCAGGCGGGGGGCAGGAAGAAAGGTGCCGCTCGTCCTGGGGCCTTCATGGGCTGGTCAGAAGAGGCGGAGCCCCGCCGGTTATCGACAGAACATGTGCCCGTCGATGCCGCTTTGTCTAGAGCAGTACTTAAAGGGCTTAGTGGAACAGCAAAACCATCCCACACCATGTGGAGTTAAATGAGTATTTCCTTAAACCTAGAGGTCCTGACAAAACAGAGGAGAAAGGGGAGGCTCGGCATGGGAGGGCCGAAAGAGCAGCAGCGGGGAAGGAGCACTCCAAGCCCCTCGCTTGTCGGACGGCTAAATCTGGGTGCAAAGCCGCAAGCCGTGGCAACCGTGCAGGTCGCGCTGCGTGCGCCCCGCCAGCGTCTGCCTCGTGCCCCTCCTCGGGGCCCCAGTGGGCTCAGAGGCGTCCTGTGGGGTCACCCCCCTCCGTGCCACACGGGCCGTGTGGGCCACCGTCCCCAGGGCTCCCTGGGAGGGGAGGCCGCCCGCCTCTCGCAGCGTCCGTGCCTCGGCCGTGGCTCACGTGCCCGGAGGGTTTGGCGAGCCCAGGAGCCAGTCGGGCGGCCGCTGACCGCCCCTCTGGATGGCCCAGCCGGGGAGGGCCTTCTGTCTCCCCGGAGTCATGCGTTCCAGGGCCTTCCCTCGACGGTTTCCATGGCGACACGGCTGCTGGTGCATCTCGCTGCTCTGCGTGTGCCGCCGCCGTGCCCCCAAAGCCGCCGCAGCCCCCCAGCCCAGCAGCGCAGGAGAGGGAGGGAGGCAGGCTGGCCCGGCAGCCCGGCATCTCTGCCTGCGACCGGGGGCTGGCAGGCACGCTTGCTCGCCCCGGCCCACCCGGGGCCCCTTTCTTGTAGCGTCACCGCCCTGCCGCAAGAGGCCAGGTTTCTCATCGTCCGCCTTTTCGTCAGCTGCCGGATGCGGCTGCATCTGTTGCACTCAGGGACCTGACGTGCTCCTCTGCCCAGAACTGCACCCGGATTAGCACTGGTGGCAACCGGGGGCTTTGCAGCAGGCCCGCTCGCCCAGGAGCCTGAAGCTGGTCCGCTGGATCAGCTTCATTCGCTCCGGTGCCAGAAGCCGGGGATCCCTCTTCCCCCCGTCAAAGCAACAGACCGTTCTGTGGCAGAAGCGCCTTCTTCTCCAGCGTTCCTCCAGCAAAGCACAAGCAGCAAAGAAGGAGTCTCAGGGCATGCACAGAGCGGTTTGGTGCCCCTGCTGCCCCTGGGAGCCCCTCCTTTCGGGTACCCCAGGCCCGGCCACGCTGGCTGGGGCGCAGGCCACCTGAAGGATAGCCCCGGCCGCGTGTGAGCCGCTCCCTGTTCGCTTCTTTGTTAGCTGTTTAAAAAATCCCTGCCAGCCAGTGAGAGCAGGAAAGCGGCAGAGCGCAATGAAGCGTCTTCTCCGTGGTGGCCCCCCGACGTCTGAAATTCGCTTCCAGCCCCCCGTGTAGCCGCTCCTAAAAGGGTTTGAAGAGTGCTTGTTCGCTCTGCCTTTAATTTAAAGGCTTTATGGTATGTGCTACGGTTTGTAACCCTGCTGCATTTTAACCGACCTATTTTAAATGTGTTTAAATAGATGATTCTTTCCTAATTGGATCCTGAATTTTACTACTTTATATGCTAATCCACCTCAAGAAGACCTCAGCCTTGAAAAGTGGTTAAGAAATATGTTTCAATAGAAAGTCAGACAGACAGACAGACAGACAGACAGACAGGCGGCAAGAAAGGACGCGTTCCATGCCCGCAGATGGGTGGGGTGCGGGTGGCCGTTCCCGCAGAACGCTTTGCGTCGATCGAGCCTGGAGCTTAGCAGTAGCCTTCAGTCCGAGAGCCGCATCCTTAACCCCTCACTCCTCTCCTGTGTTGCACGCAGATCTCCGGCCGCTGCCCGACGTAGCCATGACGGGGACCTGCACTCGGGAATGCACAGAGTTCGGCCACTCGGACACCTGCTGGATGCCAGGGCAGTCCTCCCCGAGCCGGCGGCCCAAGAATGCTCTCAAACTCTCCACCTTTGTGCCTTATCAAGACCGAGGGAGTCAAGAGCAAGTCGGGAACGGCAGCCCCAGACTCTCCGAGGAGCGAAACACCAAAATGGCCAACCTCCGCCTCCTCCCCACGTACAGTGCCTTCTCCAACACGAGCCATGAGCCCTGCAAGGACTCCCCCATGGAAGAAATCCCCCTCACCCAGGCCTCGGACTTCCCGACAGCGACCACCCCGTCCTCCCAGTCTGCCAAGCGGGAGATCTACCTGTAAGACCAGAAGGGAAGGACGTGGGGAACCCGCTGAGGTCGGCGTCTGGAACTCGGAGGAGGAGGAGGAGGAAGAGGAGGAGGAGGAGGAGGAGGGACTTTTCAAACTGTGACGCTTTATTGCTCACGCTAGCGGTCCTGTGCCTGCCCGGGAGAAAGGCTTGCGCGGGCCCTCGGGCGCGGGAACACTTTCACACCCCTGTTGCTCCCAGGGCGGCGGACTGGTGCCACCTCGAAGGACCGAGCGCTCGACCGCACGTCCCCGGACGCCTGGACGGAGGGGAGGCGAGCGGGCGAGGGGGGCTTGGCCGCAGGGCTGGGGGTGGGGGGAAGGGCTTCGTTACCAAAGGCCACACAGACTTGGTGGCGCCCGCCGGGCGCAGGGCTGAGGGCACCTGGCGCAGGTACCGAGGGAGGCCGCCGCTCTCGTGACTGTAGACTCCTGTAAATAGGAACCGTAAGGAATGACGTTTCCGTCCTGCCTGATCCAACGTTTTCTTGTCCTTAAACAAAAAGACATTGAAACAAACAAACAAAACCACAGGGAGCAATTTCCAGCTTGAATCTTTTGCCACACAGAAGAGCACAGGGGAGGAAGCGTGTCCAGCCAGCCAGCCACCCGGCCCACCCGGCCTGGCCCTCCGCGGAGCGACGGAGGACGGGGCCCCGGCTTGAGCGGGAGAGTGCTGGCCAGCCAGTCCGCCAGACCGGGGCGAGAGGTGCCACGGCTTCCACAACCGACTCTGTCCAGGCTTCAGCAACTCTTGGCATCAGGCGCCGGGGCGTCCAAGCCGGTCGCTGTGGGTCCTGCTGGCCCTCCCGTGCCCATTCCCACGGGAGGCGGAGAGGACAAGCCGGAAGGACAGGAGAGCCCTCGGTGCTTCAGGTCCCTGCAGCTTCCCCATCTCTCCGCTGCCTCCCTCCACGGGGCAGGGGACCCCCAGGGTCGCCAGCCCCGGCGCCATGATTCTGGCCTTTGATCTGTCTGCCTGTAAGCCGCCATTGCCTTCACGAAAGGGAGCTTCGCCTCAGGGTCGCGCTACGAGGCCCCCGCGGGCCGGAGCCTTGAGACCCAGGCCACTCCAAGGGCTCCGGCACCCTCTTCCAGTGCCGCGGGCTTGGCCGCACAGCACCGTGGCACGGCCACCCCAGCAGAGCCGTGCCGGACGGGGGCGTCCCCCCCCCCAGCCTCCTGCAGGCTGCTCCGGTGGCCCTGATCCGGCAGGGCTCGCCTCCGGGTCGCCTTGTGCAGATGGCCGTCTCTTCCCACCAACTTCCCCGCCCGCCAGCCGTGCTTGCTGGGACCTCGTCCCGACGCACCCAGCCACGAAGGGGACGGTCAGCTGTGCCGCTCCCCCAGCCGAGACGGGCTGGGCCACTCGACACTCGTGGTGCTGTGCGTCCCGGCTCGGCCCCTCTGGGGCCCCTGCCCACCCGGCTGCGCCCGTCCTGCTGCCCTCAGAAAGCCGGCTGCCTCGGCCCCCTCCTTGCCGTGCGCAGCATTCCGATTCCGGGAAGGGGCAGGGAAGCCTCCCGCCCTCTCGCCTTCCATGGCCCAGCTGTGTGTGCGAACGTGTGTGCGTGTGTGTCTGGCCGGCTGTGGGCGCGAGTCGGGAGTCGTGTCGGGAGACGAGGGATGGGCGCTTCACATTTCCCGGCCGAGAAGCTCAAAAGCTTTAAGGGCCCCGTGGAACCCGCGCCTGCCCGAGCGCATGGTTCCAGCCGCACCTTTTCTTCCCAGACCCTGCGCCGGTGTCGTCGGCAGCGGCTCCTTCCGATCTCGTGCCGGATCCCCTCCAGAGTCCCCAGCCGAGAGTCCGGGCAGCTTCCAGTTATGCAGGAGGGCCTTTTTCTTCCGCTCTTCACTCGCTGAAGGAATCCCGCAGCAGCGCCACGAAGGGGGCCGGGCAGGTGGTCTGCGACTCGATGTCCTGACCCGGCAGGTCCTCCCTGCGTCCGCCTGGCTAGCAGCAGGGGCCCAGGCGGGCGCACCAGCCTCCCTCGGCCCGGCCCGGCCCTGCCCGGGGAGAAAAGGCCGTCGGCCACACTTCCCAAATCAGATGCTGTCCCATGTAGACACTTTAAAGTGCCACTGTAAAGTCTGGAGCAGGGCCGGCCCCTGGCTCCCGCCCTCATTTTACGCCTCTGCTGTGGAAGGAATAGGTCAGAGGCAGACTTTCTCAGAAGGGTCACCGCCTTCCCGGTAGGGTGATCTTCCCTTCCCTTCTTCCCTTCCCCTCCCTTCCCTTCCCTTTTCACGAACGGCCTGCAAAGCGCAGCCCTGCAGCAGGTCTGTCCGCAAGCCGGAGCCGCTCGTGTTGTGTCACGTCGGCCTCGCCCCAGAGTCGCTTCCGTCCGCAGCCACGCTGCCATAGGGCCCCGGGGCCTCCTGCGTGGCTGGCCAGGCCTCCGCCGGCGGGGCAGAGGCCGTGGGCATGCACATGTGGGGCGTGCGTCCAGCGGGGTCGAGCCACTGCTCTCCCAGGTAGCACCTGCTGTCTGGAGGAGGGGCAGGCCTCGGCTTCTTCCCCCAGGGACAGAGGGAGAAGGGACTGGTTGCGGGGGGACCAGAGGCGGGGCGGCTTGGTCTCCCGGAGGGAAAGCCAAGCTTTCTGCCCCCGCACGTGTGCGGTCAGGGAGGGGGGTTACGACAGTGTTACTTATGTGAGGACCGCAGCAGTGCTGCGATGGGAGGAGCCCCTCGCAAGGAAAACGGACGTGGCCGGAGGAGGAAGAGGAGATGGGAGCGGCGCGGCAATCCCAAAGGGGAAGCTCATTTTGCACAATTCCAGGTCAGAAGGGGAGACCCTACATTGCAGGGTGGGGTGGGGGACAGGAAGGAAGGAAGGAAGGAAGGAAGAGGGGTGCTCCGCGGGCCTGGCCCGGACAAGCACACTGAAGGGTGCCGGGAACGGTCCTGAGCGCCGCACTGGGACGAACCGGGGTCAAGCCAAAAGCGGGAGGCCGGGCGCGGGCCGGCTGTGTGAGCGGGCAGCAAGCAGCCCTTCGTAGCTCTTCGTGTTGGTTCTATTTATACAAGATTTCCGTTCCTTGCTTGTGATGCCTCGTTTTTTGTACAGTTTTATGTACATGCCAGGTGTAGCTTTTTCTAAAAGGAGAAATCCTACGGCAGAGTAAAGAGTACCCAACTATTTTTCAGATCGTGACCTAAGTTTAGGTACTGCCTCTCTCTCTCTCTCTCTCTCTCTCTCTCTCTCTCTCTCTCTCGCTAAGGTTGTATTGCTCTCAATGTGATGCGTTCCCCTTGCACTGGGAAGGCTTTGGTTCCGGGGCTTAGTTCTCTCCAGGCACCCTGAGCACAATTGATTCCTTTGTAATCCTTTTTGTTTGGAGCCGTGAGCATGACACCTCGTGAGCCCCTTTCTGTTCCCCTCCATTCTGTTTGTTTGCTGAGCTGTCAGATGACAAACTCCACTGTAATTAGTCCTCCCAAAGCTTTACAATAAAAGTGTTAAAACCGTCTGGTCTGACCTGTCCGTCGTCTCTCTCTGCGGACCAGTCCGGGCGGAGGGCCCTCGGCGTGGAGCGCTGGCTTGGGGGAGAGGGGATGCGGGGCGCCTCCGCCCATCAGGGTTGCTCCGCCTGAATTCCCGTCTGCTGGCAGTGAGGAGAAGGCAGGCAGGAAGCGACAGGGAGACCCACATGGGCTCCCTACTTGCTCAAAATGCGTGGATCCCGGCCTGGGCGCCACGGAGAGATGACAGGCCCACGGAAGTGGCGCGCTGGCCGGGCCGGGGGCCGGCAGCGAGGGTCGCTGAGTGAGCGGGACCCTCCTCCACGAAAGCTCCTGGCGAGGTGCCAGAGGCGCTTCCTCAGGTCTGCACTGTGACTGGACGGCCTGGATGCAGGGACGGCACGACGACGAGAAAAGCGGAAACCAGGCCCTGCCTGCCGCTGCTGCCCGAGGCCGGCTTCTTGCACCCGTGGCTGCGTCGAGCGAGGCTGCCAGACCGCTGCCGGTGTTCGGCAGCAGGCCGGGTGAAGGCCAATAGCCTGCAGCCCAGTCCATATGGGACTGGTGCAGTCGGCAGGTCGCTCACCTGATGAAGCAGGTGGGCCGCCCTGGGAGCTTGGGAACACGGCCCCTCCGGGCAGCCTGCTCCTGCTGAGATTGAACTGCAGCTTCTCCTAAGCATCGGGGTGGCCAACCCGTGGGTCACACGGGGCCACACGCCTGCCCCGTAGTGTCTGCAGCCCCCTTGCAATTTCAGCTGCCGCTTGGCTAAATTTTGCCTGTGCGGCAGCAGCACGAAAACGTTCCCTTTCCAACAAGGGATGCGGTGAGAGCAACCCTTATTTTAACAGCAGACAGCAGAGCCGCTTGCCTGTAGCGCAGCCTTCTCCTGCCAGGAACGGGGCACTGTTGCCGCCGCACGCCCCACCTCCTGCAGCCGTCTGGCAGGGCCTCGCGGATGCGGATTTTGGTGCTCAGAACTGGGAAGCTGCCCAGTCCGGTCCACGTGCTCGCAACGTTCAGAATTTCGCAGAACTGACCCACAAGGGAGCTGGTGGCGGCTGCCTGTCCTGCAGAGCTTGCCCACTCGTTCTAGAGCCTTCCCACGCATTTCTGCACCCGGCTGGGACTCTTGCTGCTAATGGACGGAACCCTTTCTAGCTCGGGGCCACGATGTCCGAAGAAGCGCTTGCTTTCATCTTTTGGGGATCCCTACCTACTGGGTGCTGTGTCCAGCGATCGAGCCTTCCTGGTCCTTGCCTCTGATGCCTGTTCACCCGAGTTTTGGACATCAGGTGAGAGCAAGATTTTTACCCGCCTTTAGTGTGTCTATTTTTTCTTGATCCCGCTTCCTTCATCTGATACACAAACTGAATTACATTGCGATTAAATTTCATGCCATGTGTTGGTTTTTTAAGCCACCTTGAGTGCCCCTTTTTGGTAGAAAGATAAGGTACAAACAAACAACCCCATTAAAATGGGTTTTAAATTAGGTCATGATAGAAATAGAATCAGTTAACCCAAAAAAGGATGTGAGAAGATTCAGTCACAGATTTCTTGCATCACGCGGAGTCTGGCCCTGGGAAAGAGATGGTCCCATCTCCATGGGAGAAAAAATTGAGTATGTTATAAATATTACTTCAGGATGCTAGATTATGGGCAAGGACAAACTGAATTTGGTGTGTTATTGCCACCATTAAGAAACAGGGTATGCCACCAGCTCAGCAGGAAGCGAGCACTTTCTAAAGCAGGCCTGGAAACAAGCAAAGGAAGGGTCACTCCTGGGTGGATTCCACTGACTGAGCAAATTCTGAAAACGAGTCCTTTGGGTTGCTTTCATTCGCTTGACAATTTGCTGAGATGTTAGCAGTGACGCTGTCAGGGTTGGACACGGCCCACAGGGCCCTGCTGCGGAAATAGTAGCTGCTATTACGGAGTGAGATGGAAGGGAGTGAACTTGGAAGGGAGTTGTTGTTGTTGTTAGTTGCGAAGTCGTGTCCGACCCATCGCGACCCCATGGACAACACTCCTCCAGGCCTTCCTGTCCTCCACCATCCCCCGGAGTCCACTCAAGCTCACGCCAACTGCTTCAGTGACTCCATCCAGCCACCTCATCCTCTGCCGCCCCCTTCTTCTTTTGCCCTTAATTGTTCCCAGCATCAGGGTCTTCTCCAGTGAGTCCTTCCTTCTCATTAGGTGGCCAAAGAATTTGAGCTTCATCTTCAGTATCTGGCCCTCTAAAGAGCAGTCAGGATTGATCTCCTCTAGGACTGACTGGTTTGATCGCCTTGTGGTCCAAGGGACTCACAGGAGTCTCCGCCAGCACCACAATTCAAAGGCCTCAATCCTTTGGCACTCAGCCTTCTTTATGGTCCAGCTCTCACAGCCATGCATTGCAACTGGGAAAACCATAGCCTTGACTATACACACTTTTGTCAGCAGGGTGATGTCTCTGCTTTTTAGTATGCTGTCTAGATTTGCCATAGCTTTCCTCCCCAGGAGCAAGCGTCTTTTAATTTCTTGGCTGCAGTCCCTGTCTGTGGTGATCTTGGAGCCCAGGAAAATAAAATCTGTCACTACCTCCATTTCTTCCCCTTCCAGCCAAAGTTCACCAGAAGAGTAGGTTGGAGGTGAGGATTCGGGCTGGTGTTGCAGGCTGAAGGTGGGATGCTGCAGACCATGCAGAGTAATCTAAGAAGAGCCCTAAAGAGAAAGGAAGCTCAAGACCTGATGTGGAAGAACAGGAAGTGCTTAGAGATGTAGAATCCCTGCAAATTTTGAAGCCATGGGGGGAAAGCCATTTCTGACGTTTTCAGAAAAACATGCAATATCTGTATCCTAATCCCAAGGTGGCTGAAAGTGACTGCAGGTCACCTTGTCACTTCAGGAACATAAAAATATTTGCTCGCATGTTTTGATGCAGCTGTTCCCAGTGTCCGTTTACTTGAAGATGCTGTTGCTGATGAAGAAACCCTTTTTGGGATGCTTGTTTTAACGGAAAGAGCAGAAAAAGAGCTTCTGCAGTGACAGCACTGGGGAAAGCTCTTGCTCTTTCATCAGTTTGGTCTTCCCCGCTTAGATTAGAGCCATGAAGGTCTTCTGAGTGGCTATAGGGCTCTCCTTAGTTGATGCAAGAGTATGTTTTATCATTCTAATAGCATTTGGAAATGCTTATATCCGTTGACAGTATTTGCAAATCGCTTTTTTCTCCTCGGAATCTGCAGTGCGGAAATGTCTTTATATGCTAGATATTGGTCTCACCCCACCCAATTTCATTTAGTAGGATTTAAATCAGAATAGAATTGCAGCCTCCATTTACCATTTTTGCTTTATGTATTTAACGTGTTCTTATCCTGCCCTTCAGCCAAAAAAGTATTCCAACACAGCTTCCCAACAATCAGTTAAACAAGACAGCCATTACCCACAGGCTCACAATCTTAAAAAGGCAAACACACCCAAGGAAGAAGGAAGGTGGAGGCTGCGGCCCACGTCTCTCATTATAAACTTCAGGGCAGGAATTCTAATAAAGCCTCTATTATAATTCAACATAATAGAACTCACACCTGGATCTCTAGCTTGTGACTTGTGGTTATTCCTAATAGCTTTGCCATACTATCGTACTTTTGATCTGTTCTAAGTAGCAAACGTGGTTGCCAGCACTTGTTGTTTGTGTGAGTTGCACATCTATAAAAACAAAACAGTGTACAAGCTCTTGAAATGAAACCATGTTTCCCATTAGTTATCCAACGTACCATGTGAGACAACTTTGAAGAAAGAAAACTGAGACATATTGGAGAAATGGTGGGATTATCAAAATTACACGTTTCCTTGTCAGGAACTAAAGGATGTTAAACAAAGGAAAAAAGAAAAGTCCAGAGTTCAGACCACAATCAAGGCTGCTCCGTGTTGACTCGATGTCGGCACAGCTGGAAAATTGGAGACTAAGGCTGGTGCCGTAACGGATCCGCCCTGCGATGATGCCCGACTGCGCTGGCTTAGAACGGGCTCCTCCACCAGGCACCTTTTCCCTGGTCTTCTCGGCCCAGATCCGGAGCGCTGAGGCACAGATCCGCACTGCCTCGTGGCTCACTTGGATCGGGCTGCTTTGCTAAAGAAATCCTGCGACTTGAATCCAGACCAGTTGCTTGCTTTCCTCAGGAGTTAGCAGGAAGGCGGTGGGCAAGCCTTGCAGGGTGTAAAAGAACAGGCGGAGGAACAGCGTGCCTGGGGAAGGGTCGCCCACGTTTGCCACCTCCCTCCAGCGCCAGATTGTCCCAAGGCCCAAAGAAGGGCCCAGGGCGCATTCGTACAGGCTGTGAACTGCAGCCAGCAAAGGCGGCAGCCCAATCTTTCCCTAACAAGTAAGGATCGCAGTAAACACCGAGGCTTGTTTCAGAGATGCCCCCTCTGTAGGATGACGGAGCTCTGAATCCAGAGCGGGAGCGCCGTTCTGTAGGGATTGACTGCCCGTCTCATCTTAATCTCTCCCAGATTTAGCAAATCTCAGTTTCACGACCACCTGGTCCACAGCGCTGCTAGGCAAGCCTGAAAAGGAAAATATTAACCGTGCTCGTTGCATTGCAACTGTGATTAAATATTTACAGGAGCCAGCTTGAATTTGCAGGGATGACAGACTGACTTGCGTGGAATGGATTGCAGAGCGGTAACTCTTTTGCGTATCACAATACTTAGCCTCCTCTGGGAAGGTTATCGACTCCCGTGTCTTCTCCCTCTCTCACTCCGCTGCGGCCTCCTTCCGCACTGTGCAGGCCGCCTTCACTGCAGCAACTGGGACGCTCGGGATCATGTCATCACACTGAGAAGCATGCTTGCGATTCGCCCATCTGCTTGTTCCAGGCACAGATTAGCGGCACCGGCGCTGCAGGAGCATAATGCGAGCAAATCTAGGAAGATCGGTCCAGATGAGAGGCAGAGCAAAGGAGGGCGACTGCACAGCAATAGGCATCTTTTTCCACTAGAAAACTGGGCCCCCGTTTTGCTGTTCCAGCCCCAAGGTGCCTGGTGAAGCACCCGCTGGACTTGGGATGCACAGAAGAGGAACAACAAGAAATAAAAGCACACACCAGGAGCTTGCATTCTCCGCCCTGCAAGGGGCCATCTACATGAAAGAAAAGCCTCGTTCATATTTTTTAAAACCAGCTGATTAGATATATTACAGTTCTTTTCTGCAGCTGCTGCTTTTTTTCAGGACAAGATCATGGCAGCTGCCATGCCGGGAACTCGTTTTCAGCTTCCTTTGTCACAGGATGGGTTGAAGGCACATGGTATCCTGCACTCGGAGCTGGATTCACGGCTGTCGGAACACAGGTGATCGTGTTCTCTGGCCCCAGCCGTGAACAACCTCATGGAGAGAAGCCATGGCTTGTTGCTGGGTTGAGAACTGTGGGTTGCTCACCACGGTTTGTTCTCTCGGCTGGATTCAGACAAGAAGCTAACCCGTGTTTCAACAAGAACCACTGCGCAAACCTGGAGTGGACGTTCTCGTGTTGTCTGAACCCAGTCCTCGTCAGAACATTTCCAAATGGGATCTGGCTTGCTTCATTCTTCCCCCACTGCAGAGGTGGGTGTCCTATTTCGAAGGTGCATCCTCGGATGCTGATGCGGCTGGGTGGATTCCTGGCGGTCCTCCGGGAGCTTCCACCAAGCCGCTCCTCCACTCTTTGGAATGCTGGTCTGTCTCGAACCGCCGTGCAATTGCGCTGGGATGCCTTTTCCAGCTGGCTAGAGCTCGTTCAGCCCCTTGGCCCGCTGGCGATTTAGGGGCAATGAACCCGCTGGGATCATGGCTGGATCCAGAGGGAGAAAGACTTGGGACAAATCCAGCACAACATGCGTTACAGCTCCGTGCTGAGCCTGCCCGTCACGGCTGCAATAGAAAGGAGCAGTATTTCTTTCCCGCCACCGTGACAGCTGCCCTCTGCTCCTCATCCCTTCTCTCCTTCCGCCCCACAAGGTTGCTCCCAGCCCATTTAGGCTTGTGCCCCTGGGCCTTTTCTGCTCAAGGCAGGGAGGCCTGTGGCCACTGCCAAGCCTTTGCTGGACAGGTGAGGAAACACCAGGCTCAACACCTGAAGGTTCAGCGGTGGAGCAGGGCCCTTCACAAGAGGCCCCCAGCCAGCCGACTCCAGGCCCTGCCCCAAAAATCGCCAAGGCAGAGAAATTGGCAAGCAAAGTGAAAGTCTCCGCATTTGACACAAGTGGAAACTGCCCTGAAGGAGCCGTTTATCTCCTTCCCTGCTCAGCAAGCCCCTCCAGGCAGCACTTGGCCCAGCAAACCGGACGGAGCTCCTCAGCGAGGGACTGAGCTGCTCCCTCCCAGGAGAATGGGGGGCGCATGGCATGGGAGGCACATGCATGGGGCCTGGGCCTGGGGCTGGGGTGCCGCCGTGCTCCCCGCTTGGCCTCCGTCAGCACGGACCGGCTGAGTGCTTTGCCCAGGCGTCTGTGCGGGAAGGAGCACCGCGCACACCGTGAAACCTTATTTTCCGGGATTCTTTTTCCCTCTGCGATTTGCCACGGCCGGAGCGAGCAGACGGAATCTGGGCTCGTCCGGTCCCCTTGGGAGCTCAAGGATCCCGGGGGGTGGCCCGCGCGGGGGGGGAGGGGGGCCTGGCACTTCCCTGGAGAAAGGAGCGCTGCAGGCCTGTGTCGCTGGGGGGAGTCTGGAGCCTGGCCCAGCGCCACGCGCGGATCCTCGTGCGGAGGGCGGGTGCGCGGCCGAGGCAGGGGAGCCCCCGCGCTTGGTCACCAGCGCTCCCACCAGCTCTGCAACGCTTCCGCGCACTCGGGGCGAGCGCTTCGCACGCTTTCTCGAGTCTCGCCTTGGAACAGCCCCGCCGGAGGATCCAGCACAGTCGCCCATGTTGCCACTGGGGGGCCGCTGATGAGGTGGAGGCTCCCTGGCGAGCTGGTGAAGGGGGGGCATTCACATCGGGGCACGCTGCGGATGTGCCAGCCAACCCACACCCACACCGCCGCCACGGACCAGAGGACAAAGCCCCCGTGCCTCTGAGGGGCGCCAGGCCTGTGCCTCCAGAGAGCCTTCTTGCCCTCCTGACCTCGACTCCCTCCCCACACAGCCCCCCCCATCCCTGCCTGCCCTCCCTCCCTCCCCTCAGGGTTTCAGCTGCACCAGCCGGACACCCACCTGCCCACCCTCTGGCCTGCGATGAGGCCCAGTTTCAGCCAGCCGGCCGCATGTCTCAGGCCACCTCTGGACGCGGACGCCAGGCCTGCCGCCCGCCAGGCGCAACTCTGTGCAGGCGCCTCCCTGGGAAGAGAGTGGCGCCCACGTCGTTTGGCCCCCCTCTTGGCGCTGCAGAGGCGGCTGAAGGCCGGGGCTCCGGGGAGCCTGCCGCCTGCGCGGGGACTTTAGACTTCACAAGGGTGGGCTGTGGGCAGGAGGACCCTCCCGGGAATGCCAGAAGGGCTCTCCAGGGAGGGGAGCCCGCCCGCCCCTTTAAAAAGGCCCTGCGCAGCAGCACACAATGGCACGAGTCCCTTCAGACTTGCAGGTAAGCCCAGGAGATGCTTTGACTCCTTCAAGCTGCTCGGATCTGGCCACTGAACCACCCTGCTTTTTTCAGAAAGGAAAGTTACAATCACACTGGACCAGGAGCAGCAGAAAAAGACACCCACACACGAGCGGGCTTTGGCCTGCCCTGGGCTCCCTGGGGGCGCCCAGGAGCCAGGGGTCCCGGCTGAAAGCAGATTTGTGACACCAATAATTCTGTTCTCGGAGCTGCAGCCCGAATTTCCTTCCAGGAACACTGCCAGGCGAGCAGGCCGGAACTGGAAGTAGTGCTTGTGGGCGCCACAGCGGCAGGGGTGCGCAGGGGAGCGCCTGGGGGGCTTATCAAGGGCCGACTGCTGTGCTGCATGGAGGAGGCGACGACGGTGAGGGCGGGGATGCTTGGAGCGGGCGAGGGGCCGAAGGCTCCCTTGGAGATTTTCCCGTGTTTGCAGCAGTTAAACAGCAGGGCAAAAAGTTGGGTGCAGCTGTCGCTTCGTGCGGCTCAGTGAAACACCCCCCAAGCCCCCGCCCGTCACTCCAGGGCAAGCGCGCCAGTCCGCCGGCGCGCCCTCGTGCACGACACACACACCGACAGCGGCTCCAGACCTGCCTGCTGTTGCCACCCAGACTGGCCGCTCTTCCATGCGAGGTGCTCCCTCAGAGGCGGGGTGGGAACGAATGGCACCGTCTGGCCAGCTGGGAAGGGCGCCACTCCACGGGTTGTCTGCAGGAGCACGCCCCACACCTCACGAGAAGTGCGCGCAAACAGCAGGCCTGGACATTCAGGAGTGTGCGCGCAGCGAGCCGCCAGCCCTGGGTGGCCGGCTGCAAGCCTTGCACAACCGGGTAGTGGCGAAGCCGCTCTCTTGCCTGCCCGGAGCCATGGGGCGCCCAGAGCCCGCTCCTCCAGGACGGGGGCTGCGTGGGCAGGCCTCCCGAAGCTGCCAGACCGCGAAGAACACACCATCGGCACACTTCCCTGCTCAAGATCCGCTGATTTCGTGGATGAATATTGATGCTAAAATATTAACCGCAATTTGAGCTGACTGCAATGAGTTATCACAACATTAGTCCAACTGGATCAGGTGGGATTTATTAAAAATAGGCAGGGGGCTGACAATCTTAGCTTGGTTATGGATCTGATTGCATTAAATAAGGATGGGACAGACACAGCTGCTCTTGGGATGTGGAGAAGGCTTTCAATAAAATTTATTGGAGATTTATCTTTGCCACCATGAGGTAATGCTCTGTGTTAACACATACAGATACATAATATATATGTAATTAATGCCATGGGTCTTTTTAAATCGCATCCAAAATGCAATGTTTTAGTTTAGCTTATCCTTTTTTGTTGCTTCAATCACTTTTGGTAACACACAATAAAAATAAATGTAAGGGGAAAACAAAAGAGCTTATTTGGAAGAGCCCAATCCCAGGGCATAGATGCGTCATGGTTTCATCCACAAGAACCTGGATGGCCTTGCAGAAAACTTCTGCAGTTACACTACTCCTTCTGGTTGTGCAGGGAAAGGTTATGACCCTGTCAGCCACGTAAACCTCGCTCAGCACGTTCAGAGTTCCCCTGAAGATCTGGCTTGCGGCAGGCCTCCTGGCGCCACGAGGATGGCCAGGAGCAGGTAGCCCGGGTTGAAAGCCAGTTTGCACAACACCACTGCCAGGATTTGCACGACCTTATTGTCCAGCTGGGGCAAGATGGGCCCAGTTTCAGCGACTGTGGTCTCAAAGGTGGCCCGAGACGTGTGGAAAGTTCCCCGAAACTTGACGTCGACCCAGGCCTCTGCATCCAGCAGCAGCCCAGCACCGCATGGGTTCAGAAGCGCAAACACATCCGTCTCGCGTGGGCTGCTCGAACGAGGCACGAGCCAGCGTGGCGCCCCGGCCTCGCTCCCTGGAGCCCGACTGCGGCAGGCCGCTCAGCAGGCCGCATCCAGCCTTGCAGGCGAGTCAGGCTCCCGAGGAAGGCTCCCTCGCCCAGGGTGACTGCAGTGCTCCAGTGGACCTCGCCGCCCAACGTCCAGTCCTTAGAGACTGGGACAAGCGCATGGAGGATCACGCTGCCAGGTTCTGGCAGCTGGTCCCCTTCTCCGGCATCACGGCCCCAACCGGCGAGGGACCACGGGCCGGGGGTGCCGTCGCACCCTTGCCCTCCAGCCCGTCCTCTGGGGAGCGGCTTGGCCTGTGCGGTCCGATCCAGAGGGCTCGCTCGCATTTTCACGTTCCCGTCCGTGGGGAAACGCATAAGCAGCCTTCCCCTGATGGCCGGTGCTGCGAAGGCACCGGCA